ATAAATCATGCAGCAATGGTGAAATCAAGCAACAATCGGGCACATTCCCTTTTCATTCTAGACTGAGGCCTAGTAAAAAAAAGGGGGAGAAGTCTCGCCGTTTCATCATCTTCTTTACATAGACCTATAAATCTCTCATTTTTTTGGGGTTTCTTTATTGCAATCGTCGATCAACACTTACAACAAAAAGAATCAAACATTTGTTCTTGGTATTGGCTGTTAACTGATTGGGGAAGTAGTACATCTGTTCTTCATCTTTTTACCCATCCTTAGTGGGGTTTATTGGGGGTGGAACACGTATAGTCAACTTGTGTTCCTCGAGAGTCCATATAGACATGTACACATCAAAGAAATTAGGGCTCTTAAGAAGAAAGGGTTGATGAACAACATAAATCGAAGCATATTTCTACAAATAATCGAAGTTTTGACATCTAGGTTCAATACATACATTGAAAAACTGAAAAAAAAAACACACACACACACACACTCGAGAAAGTCAAAAATGGTGTAAACCCGGTTGAAGAAAAATGAGCTTGTGTGTGATTTCTTTCTAATTTGCAGGTCGTGTTTATGATTGCAGTGGTCGAAGGTGGGAATTATGATGTGAAGGGGGTTTGCTTATCGGTGAACTGTACCAAATATGAGGTTGCAGGTGGTGTGTCCATGGAGAGAAGATGATGGACCTGTGGGAAGAAGATGATGGAGTAGTTGGGTTTTTTGGTCTTAGGATGAGAGAGAGAGAGAGAGAGAGAGCGTACCGGTAGGGGTGGAGTGGGAGTCTATCTTTTTTGTTTTTTATTTATATTTCATAAAGTATTAAAATAAATAAGAAAAGAAAATACAAAACTGAAATTTAAAGGGCAAACAGGTAATTTCAAATTTTTTTGGACCAAAAACCCAGAAAACTCTTGATTTTGGACCTTCTGTGCAAGCTGGAAACTTTTTGGACCCTATTCAAAGATTTTTGCAAACCACAATGACCAAATTTGCAGTTTTGTCCATATATAAATATGATCTAATTTGCAAGTTATATCACACATTGAAACATTAATTCTCAATAAACAAGTTATTTGTTTTATTATTATTATATTTTCATAACATAAATATAATAGCACTAAAGAAAAAAAAAATAAAAAGGAAATAAGTTGGATGGAAATTACATATATAAATTACCAAAATTGTAATATACACTAATATATTAATACATTTTACATTTTTTTTTAAAATGTCAAAAAAAGTTAAAAAATGAAGAAATGGAAAAAAAATACGAAAACAAATATGAAAAAATTAAAAAATTAAAAATAAAAAAATAAAATCTAATACGAAAAAAATATAAAAAAAACTAAAAAAATACAAAATGAATATATTAGAGTATATAAAAAACAAAAATAAATAAAGTGTGTGTGTGTGTGTATATATATATATATATATATATATATATATATATATATATATATATATATATATATATATATATAATGAAAATAAATTTTAAAAAAGCAAAAATAAATAAAGTATATAAAAACGAAAAATAAAGTTAAAAAACCATGTGGTGTAATTTTTTGCAAACTACAGGGACCAAATTTGAACTTTAAACCCAATTTTAGGACTGATTTTGTAAAAAACATAGCAAGTTAACCATGAAACTCATTAAGTGGGCTAGAACGATAATTCTGTGAGAAAGACGTGACCATAATAATGATAAAAAAAATTAGAGTTTTTTCCAATTACATGTTAAAACTTAAGACTTTTTTGATATTAGTCATTTCTATTAAATTCTTTTCAGTTTTTGTAAACTTGATACTTATAAAATATAATAAAAATGAACTCTTATCTATGAACAAATCACAATTATCTGATTTGAATTTGATTAAAACATGATTCTTAGACAAAACAGTAAAAATGGTTCTTATGGTATGTATTTTTTATGAGTTTTGGTTTACACATTTTTTTTGGCTTCGTGGTCCTTTTGACCATGTTTCTATATGGTTTTGGTCCCTCCAAAATTTGAAATTACCGTAATACCCTTATGTATTTATTTTCTATTTTTTATCTATTTTAATTATTAAAAAAACATTTAAGGGTTTTTTTTTCTCTCTCTCTCTCTCTCTCTCTATATATATATATATATATATATATATATATATATATATAGATATATATATATATATATATATATATATAATATATATAGACTTAGGTTATTATATTTAAAGTAATTATTGTGTTATTGTATGCATAAATGTGAGCCAATCATTTTACTTATTTTAAGAAAGTGATTAAATACATATTATTGAATTAAATATAATTGAAAAATACCATCTAATTTAACTAGAAGGGTATTTTAGTCAATTAACATAGATTTAATAAAGGAAATTTGCATATTTTAAGGGATCATATATTCTATTAATTTTAAAAATCCGATTATACGAATTATAAGGTTTTTAATTCGGACATTCTGACAGAATATGTTTGAGTATGTTCAAAAATAAAAAAAATTCTTGAACCATAAAATAATAAAAATATTCTTGAACATATTTCTTGATCATGACTTTTAAAATTTCTTGTAGAATAACAAAATTCTCGAACCATCAATTGAAGAATTAAAACAAAGATTACATTAATTCTTATAGAATACATGTAACAATTGCTAATAATTACAATTATTGTTAAAGAATAAAAAACTAAAAAAACTTTCAAATCTGAAAAAAAACATCAAAATCTAACAAAGACACTACTACATTCTAAAAGAATAATGTTGCTAAGAGGCGTCGTTCAAATTTCGTGGTCAGTTCTTCAAGCATGAGCTTCTGTAGAAACAAATCCAATAATAAATTAGTGAGAAAATATCAATATTCCATTCCAACATAATTGGAATTCGTGATTCCATTCTGATAGAATTGGAATTCATTTACCAATAATTATTTTAATTCGAGGAATTCTAACAGAATATGTTCATGATTATCATAAAAAACATTCTTTTCTGATAGAATACTATAAACGAAGAAATACCATTCAGTTGAAGCATTTTAGCGAGCGCTTGGTGTGCATCAAAACAACTTTCAATTTCGGATCAGAGGGTGTTACAGCCGCCGCAATAAGAACCCTAACCCTAGGAGGGTGCTACAGCCGCTGCTTATACCCCATCCTTCACCCGCCACCTCCTATCCGCCATTGGAGCCGGAAATCGCCGGAGACACCCCCCTCCTACGTCTGAAAGAGAGCGAGCCAGTCGGATGCAATAAGTCTAGGGTTGTCACGCCACCATCCCTTTCGTGGTGGCTAACTGTCGTGAACCGCTCAGTCACCGCCATGCTTATATGGCTGCTGTGAACTACCGGTGCCCAACCACCGTCGCCGCTTCAACGAGCATCGAAGACGAAGGCCGCCGATTGTAACTGTGGCAGCGAGCGATCGGAAGAAGAAATATATTGGCTGTCGCGTTGTGTTTCACGTGAGTACGAGTGTTTCTGCTTGTGTTTGGATGCGTATTCTAGAATATGTCGTCGTGTGTGTGCTTGGTCAGCCGGAAGTGGAGTGTGTACGAGATGGAGATGAGAGGGAAAAGGTTGGGAGTGACGATGAATAGAAGAAAAGAGGGGAGAGGCGGACGTGAGGATATATACTAGAAATTGGGTTTTAAAACTGATATTCCTAAATTAAAGGGATATTAATTGATTTATATATTTACCATAATTAATTAAATGTATGATTACATATTTACCCTTTTGAAATGATTGGCATTATATTTATTCATACAATAACACAATAATTACTTTAAATACCTGAACCTAGCTCTCTCTCTCTCTCTCTCTATATATATATATATATATATATATATATATATATATATATATATATATATATATATATCATCTTCGAGACAGGTGCACCGATCATCCTCAGGCTACTTCTCTCTTCTTCATGGCTTTTCCTTATCATCTTTCTATCTCTCTGATAATCACTAGCAATATCATCGCTCCACAAATACTCAATTTCTTCCACCCATTCACAAATTGTTAACCCATATCCCTTTCCCCACCTCCCCAATCGGTGGATTTAAGATCTGAAGAAGAAGAAAAAAATGGAACGAGATTACCCATAATAAGATTACACATTCTTTAATGACGATAATTCCACTTCTTTTTCCATTGTTTCCGCCTCTGCTTCTGGTTTTCAGATGTGATTAGGAAATCAAAGCTATGGGACGAGGTTGAAGAGCAACCAAAGCTTTTTCGCTTCCTTTAATGGCGATTTAAACGAAGCAACTGAGATTATCTTCCTCCATTTTAATTTTTGGGTATTTACTCAACTTAACTTCATTTTTTCTCAAATTGATTTTTGTGTTATTTTGCGGATTTTTGCCTATTTGAGCTAACTTCAAGCACGCACATCGATTGATCGGTAACCATCTATTTTTTTTTATTGTTACTGTTGCTTGTTTTTAAAATTTACTTGTATTCGTGGAAAGCTACTTACTTTGATTTTGGGGAAGAAAGGTTTATTGCATTTGCATTCAATATTTGACCTGGAAGGCTGGAATTAGATGATGTGTTGACTAGATCATTGAGATGATGTGTCAAAATTACAAAAGGTTCATCATGGATTTAAAATTGCATACACAACTTCACCATAACCGAGATGATGATCATATGATGAAGATGAAGATGAACATGGTAGAGAGATGTTCAAGTATTTGTGTATGTGATTATATATATATATATATATATATATATATGTATTTTAATTGTTAAAACAGATAAAAAATGAAAAAAATTAAAAATAAATACATAAAATTATTATAGTAATTTCAAATTTCGAAGAGACCAAAACTACATAGTAACATAACCAAAATGACCACGAAGCAAAAAAAAAAAAAAAAAAAAAAAGAAAAAAAAATAAAATGAAGTTTGAATCAAAACTCGAAAAAAATTTATACTAAGTTTAATTTTTTTTTTTATTTGACGAATAATGAAAGGAGTCAGCCTTCCAATTGGATCCTCACGCCCACCATAACCTTATCGAGCACCGTCCACAGATAATCATCTCTCGTCTTTCTTCTTCAAGCTTCCAAAATCTCAAGATAACCTCCATAACAGCTCAGGCGAATAACATACTGCAAGAAACTCACCCTTAAAATATCACCAATTTACATTGATTACCCCTATCGAATCTTCAACTTTAGTTATCCAAATAATTGCTCATGGCGTCACCTGAAAAGCCGCCGCCGGCGATCATCGTCCAACCGGCGTCCCCAAGGTTTCCAAAACCCGGCGCTTTAAGTGCCGGAACTCAGAGGAAAGTTGCGATAGCAGTCGATCTGAGCGATGAGAGTGCATACGCCGTGAATTGGGCAGTTCAGAATTACCTCCGCCCTGGAGATTCCGTCATACTCCTCCACGTCCGTCCTACATCTGTCCTGTACGGCGCAGATTGGGGCGTCGTGGAGGATCCCGACACCGCCACCGATGAAGAATCGCAGCAAAAACTCGAAGATGATTTCGACGCGTTTACAACCACCAAAGCAAACGATATCGCAAAGCCACTAGTCGATGCCCAAATCAATTTCAAGATCCATATAGTGAAAGATCATGATATGAAGGAGCGATTGTGTTTGGAAGTTGAAAGGCTAGGGTTAAGTGCTGTGATTATGGGGAGCCGAGGGTTTGGTGCTTCTAGAAGGACATCGAAAGGGCAGAGGCTTGGGAGTGTTAGTGATTACTGTGTGCATCACTGTGTGTGTCCGGTGGTGGTTGTGAGATATCCAGATGATAAAGATGGCGAAATTGCTGTTGGATCACCTCTTCGTGTGAATGGCGGCAGCGAGGTTTCACTGCATCCGGTGCCGGAGGAGGAACCGGAGTTTCATGATGCATCGGATAAACAATCAGGTTAATTTTTTTATATCGAATCTAGGGTTTACTCAACTTATCAAACAGCTTGATCGTATTGTGCATCACTGAAACTTTTTATCGACTCTAGGGTTTACTCAACTTAATTAACATACGTTTTTTAGTCATGTTTTGATTCTCTTACCAAATTGGTTGCATAAATTGATAAAAGGAAATGACTTTTGATGCAGATCTGGAAAAGCCCTCCTAAAGAAGGGTTTTGGTATTTGGGTGTTTTGTTGGTGTTTGTTGTGTGTTTCAAAGTGTTTTGGGGATGATGAAGAGGTTGCTGATGTTTTCCTGTTTAAGGGTTTATTTAGGGTTTAAAAGTGGATGGTGTTCAGCTGTTTATGTGTTAAAGCATTGTCAAATAGAGTGCTTGTTGAGGTGGTTTGTTGTTATTATTATGGCCTCTTTGAGATGGAATGAAAGTTAATTATATTTGTTGTTTTAACATTCTTATTCTGTGGTTATGGGAGAAGAATCAAGGTGTGTTTGTTGTTCTGTTTAAAATTTCTGCTAAAAAAGAAACAGGTAAAACAATCGATGAAAGTGTGTTTCTAGTGATAGGAAGTGTTTGCAACACAAAATAAATCTAAAAAATGATTTACATGTATATAAACAATTCGACTGAGATTATTTTGGACAATCGTTCAGGAGACTAGACCAAGTCCGTCTAAGACCGAAAAGTCCTAAGGAGGTTTTTACCGCACTCTTGGGTCGGTCTAAACAACTCTGATTTGATCTCGAGTCGGTCCCCAACCGATGCTTCCTTTCCCATGAGGGATTTACTGATTTAGATCTGAAGTTAACGGGGTCTATGATTTATAAGTAAATAAATTTTAGAATAAATTTTTGAAAATTTGGTGATGCTTTGGTTTTTTCAACAAAATGAGTGCTAAAACTAATGGATTAGGGACCTAGTAATGTAGGGGTAAGTAAAACCGAACCGAGAAATTGAAAAACCGAAATTGAAAAATTAAAACCAAAATAGAAGACACCCTCGATTCTATTGCCTACGATGTCCCTCTCGGTGCTTGGAGTTAGCTTAAGCGACTCGTAAGACCAAGGATTTAGCCACCTTCCTGGTGAGAGAAAACTAGATTGGGATAGAGCTATGACTTTAGCCACCTTCCGGGTGAGAGAAAACTAGACTGGGATAGAGCTCTGAAATAGTGAACTTTTCGGGTGAGAGAAAACTAGACTGGGATAGAGCTATGACTTTAGCCACCTTCCGGATGAGAGAAAACTAGACTGGGATAGAGCTCTGAAATAGTGAACTTTCCGGGTGAGAGAAAACTAGACTGGGATAGAGCTCTGAAATAGTGAACTGGGTAGGAACACAATCGATGTATCACAAGAAGACAATGATGAAGTTTGTGGTTGTTGCATGTCATTCTTAGAGATGAAGATAGGGGCATGCAAACTAGCTAACTATTTTATGGGCGGATTTACTATGTTGCACGGGGTAGCACGGGCTACCCCTCAATTTTTTTTTGTCAAATGTAAATTTGATGAAAATTCGTCAAAATCCGTCATAAATCCATTGGAAATCCGTCACGAATCCGTTGACAATCGATCACAAAGTTTGATAATTGTGAATTTAATGTAAATTCGTCGATTTATTTACGATTTTGTGATGAAAACCGTCTTCAGAAATGAGTTTTTTTCCTACTAGTGCAACTCTTAAAAAAATTGTGCAACCCCTAACTTTTCTTTCTGGATCCGCCACTGATCCTCTATGAGAGAGAGAGAGATATATATATATATTTCTTAGACAAAGATGATTCTTAGTCTAATCGCAAACTGAACCCGTCTGTAACAACCTCTTAATTCAAATGCAATTCGATAATCTCGTGCCAGGGGCACTGAAAGCCATAAAAATATCTATCGACTTTCTTGGATATAGATCAAGTTCTTAGCTTTGTAAGATAATCGATTAATTGCATAGCATGCTGGCAACATGATCATTGCTTACTATTCTAGACAGTTTGAGTGAGTTTTTAAAAACCCAAAATAATGGGTCCAGTTTCGGTTTTAACAAATGTAAAAACCGATAAAAACTGAACTGAACCAAATTATGAATTTTATTATATATATATATATATATATATATATATATATATATATATATATATATTACGTATTTTATATTAGTGTTGTGTTAGACACCAGTAGGAACTTGTGTAGTCGGTTAAGTCACAGACACATATTTTACGCTACCTAGGTTCGAATTTTTCCTTTGACATTAATGATTTTATTTTCTTTTAGCAACAAATTATGCCATATCATGAGTGAATTCTTTCTTATTAGAACTTGTCCACTCATAACACTAAGTTCTCAATTCTCAAAGTTAGGTTTGGAATGAGTTTGGGTTTAAATCCGAAACCGATTCGGGAAAACCGAAAAAATGAGAGACCAAACAGATGCATGTACCAACTTATAATTCGATCGTATATATACATGTACTCCGCATTCACCAAACATATAAATATAAAGTACAAACGATAAGCCCCTTAGCTCACATGTCGGTCCCAATTACATAAAATGTCAGCTGACACTAGAGGTGCACACAAAAACCGGATCCTCGAAATGAAACCGATTCGATCCGAAAACCGGTTTCGGTCAAAACCGGTTTTGACCAAACCGGATCGGATTAAACCGGTGACCGGATTCAAACCGGTTTGACTTTTCGGACTCGAAATCGGATTTACCCCCGGATCACAAACCGGATTCTACAAAAACTGGTTGTTAAACCGTCGAAAAATCTGGTAAAAACTAAAAAAATCCGGATCAAACCGGTTTCAAATCGGATTCGGATTGTTGACCAGATTCGGATCGGATTTTGACCGGATTCGGATCGGATTTGCCCGGATCGGATTGTTGACCGGATCGGATTTGACCGGATCGGATTGTTGACCGGATCGGATCCTGGGTTTGTGCATCTCTAGCTGACACTAAAATCATAAAAAGTAATCTATGATGGTTCCAATTTTTCATAGAGATTCAGATGAAAATTTTCTAGAAATTATGCTTGTTAGCTGTCACTTTGTGCTTATTACGAAGATAACGGTCTCATGCTTGAAATTACAAACAAATATTGTATGCAATACAATTATGTGTTATTTGTTGTTGATTTTAGTGTTATCAACATATTTTAGTGTATTTATTATTATTAATATTGATATAGACTAAGCTCCATTTACTAACCGAGATAGGAGGTGAGGGATGCACACTCGGAGTGATAAATGCGAACTTGGGAATACGAGGGTTTGAGGACAGAGCCCTGGGTGCAGGGTTCCAAGGGGCTACACCCCTGGCGGGGTCCAAGGGGTAGAGCCCTTGGAGGTGGGGTAGTGCCCCGAAACCTAAATGGATTTTTATATCGGGAAAGAGTCTAACCATGCAAATTCCCGCCAAAACTAATAGTGATATCATGATGATGTCATAAGTTGGTTATGTCATAATAACCAACTCATTTTGGTGCCAAAATTCCCGTCAACCAACTTTCAACCAATTTTCTATCATCTATTTAAGGATGATTGAAATTCCAAAATTCGGTTGGAACATAAATACTCTCGAAAATCATTCTTCCGATTCTATCTATCTCTTCAAGAACACAAAACAACAAGGTATTTTTCTGTGTTTCAGATTTAGAAGTACCCTGACTTCTAAATTGTCATTCTTAGGATTATCCCAAATCTGATTTCGTGATACCTTGACTATAGGGTCGAAATCACAGATTTTGAAAAATGATTGCAATCACGATCCTAGAAATATCCAAGTAAATTGATATTTTTAAGACCCCAAAATTCTAACATTATTTGTTTGCCTAAATCTAATATTAGGGTTTTTCCTCATTTTACATGGAGAATCAAATTAATCTATTGCTGATTTTATCATAATTATGCTTGGTATAATATTTATTAGGTTCTTAGCTCCTACCAAATCGCTAATGATTGTTGACACATGCTTATATCTTTTGAAAAATGAGTTTTCACGGTTAAGTTATTTTAAGGGAGAGTTTTATGTCAACTTGTTGTTAGTGTATGTCACATCGGTGCGATACGGTCTCTTATGTCTCTATATGTTGGAATCTTGTGTTGGAATGAACCCTGAACGCACAACTCAAAAACAATATGAACTAGTGCAACTCTTCTACTGCACAATCTCTCTGACTGCTGCGCAATTTGACTGGGAAAGGAACAAAAAGATACAAGAAAAAAACATCATAGGATATGGAGAATTATGGCATTTTATTATATAAGAACTTGAAAACACATCAATGGAAATTACGACTCTTACCTAGTTTTATATCTAAACTTACCAAAAAAACAAGAAAAAAATAACAACCCATTCCTGGGTTTATGCAACCTACGACCATGACTTTGACCGACTCTATTAATAAAGAAAACACAATGACCAAACTTTCCTTCTTATATTCGGATTACTCCAACATCTTGGACTCCATAAATATCTTATATCGTATATGCTTCCTGTGTGGCTGAACACATCCTTGTCTACATCATCGAGTCTATCTCTAAAGGGGATTGTTAGTATATTCCACATTGATACTGTTGGAAATTAAGCTAGGCTTAATTATCAGTATTTATTAAAGCTAAAATAGGTATGAATGGGTAACAGTTATAAGTTGGTTATAGAAGTTAAGAAGGAACTGTTGCTTTAAAGGGTATAACGGTTCATTTCTGTTGTGTATGTATATATATACTAGGTGATAACCCGTGTACTACAAGGTTGGTTGACATTAATAAAGCAACATAGAAACTATAAGAATAACAACCATTAATCATGCAAACATATATTTTTTACATAATTTGTACATCTAAATATTTAAAGCATCTAACTTGATTATATTTTCGATAGTTGTTTATTTATAGCATTTTGAAAACGGAATCTTGATTTTATGGGATTATATCCTCATTTCTTGAGCCACATTTATTGCTCATTTATTGGGGGTAAATTTAAAATTGAGAAACAATAAAGTGACACATGACATAATATTAATTAGGATGTGTATTAGAGTGACACATGACAAAAGGAGAGTAAAACTATTCTTTTATTGGTATAGAGAGATATTTGCACTGTGAAACATGTTGTTGAATTATTAATAAAAGAGTTATATTTTTGCATCACGTAATCTTTCTTCTATCTTCTTGTCTAAATATGCTTTCTCCAACAGATACGATAAGTAAATGCTTTTTTAGAGAGACAATGTTGAACTTCACATATCTTTCACATGCGAATGTGTCTTACAAGAAACTATTACCAATATCACAACATACAACATTAATTTTGCTTGAGAGCCAAGCACCTAATTACTAATCATACATATATAACAAATAGATGTGTTAGCTCAATTACTTGCTATCGCCCTTCCATCATGGATAGGGTGACTGTATTTCTTGAACACATGTTTTTGAATTCTTGACCAATGTCATTGGTACTAGACAACCTTTGTAAAGTAAATAATGGCATTTTTGGCTCTGGGAGATGAGTTTCACTGCATAACATAGACATTGCTTCTGTCATTGTTGGCCTATCCTCAGCCAAATCCTGAACACAAAGAAGTCCCACATGTATGCATCTCAAACCCTCTGTTGACTCTCCTAATGTCTCATCCATCAATTCTACTACTCGCCCTTCATTCCATGACTTCCATGCCTGAAATGTGTGTGTGAGGAATAAACAAGAATAATCACACACCCACACACATAAAGATACAGTATTTAACGTGGTTCGATCAATGTGACTTACGTCCACACATGAGATAGTATTCTTATTCATGAGCTTGAAACTGATATTATAATATACCCTAGAGCCGTTATATATAGTCAAAGTACAACCGTAAACCCAAAATAGAACCAGGCCGGGCCAATCTACAACTCTCAAGTCACATTTTACGGTATGTCTTCTGTTATATGTAAATGAGAGAAGTTATGTGGTATGGTTTTGTGCGTTAAATTTTATACTTACGTGTCCGAGTGGATAGATTTGTTAGTGATGTATGAATTCGGTATTCCTTTTACCACTTATAATCTCCAATAGCATTACTCCATAACTAAAAACATCCGATTTCTCTGAAATTACTCCTCTCATGGCGTATTCAGGAGACATATAGCCACTGCATTTCATAATATAAAAAGCCGATTGTTAGAATGTTCTCAAGAATCACAAATCAACATGGGAAATGAATGATTCTCACTATGTTCCAACAATCCTGCGAGTATTCGCGAGCTCTTGTGTCATTTGAAAAGTACGTGCCAATCCAAAGTCTGATATCTTGGGATTCATTTTGTCATCTAGTAGAATATTGCTACATTTCAAATCCCTGTGTATGATCCTTAAACTAGAATCCCGATGGAGATAAATAAGTCCACGACCAATTCCCTGAATGATGTTGAAACGAGTCGCCCAATCAAGTTGCATACGTTTCTTTGGATCTATCATACAATAATACAAGTTATTTCTAAATTATGATGATTTTACAAGTGAAAATGAAAAATGATCAATCCATTCAAACTGACCAAATAGAAAGGTGTCCAAGCTTTTGTTTATCATGTACTCATAAATCAATAATCTTTCTTTCCCTTCAAAGCAGCAACCCAAAAGTTTAACAAGATTCCTGTGTTGGAGCTTAGAAATCAACACGATTTAATTCTTAAACTCTTCAACTCCTTGCCCAGAGTGACCTGACAGCCTTTTCACTGCTATCTGCTGTCCATCATCTAACATTCCCTATTTTAATCATTTATGAAAGTAGTTGGTGCTGGTTTTGTGTCAATTGCTTGGAAAATATGCAAAAAAAGAAGTTTGTAAATACTAGATTATTACCTTATAAACTGCAGCGAATCCTCCTTCACCAAGTTAGTTTCTGTAGCTAAAGTTTTCAATGGCAGCTATTATTTGTTGGAACTTATATATAGGTAATTCATAGGACTCCTTGCTAATATCATCTTCTTGTAGCGTATCCTTTAAAACAATATAATCCTCCGAACTGAAGTGATTCAACTTTGTTTTCTTTCCTACAAAGATAAATTTTTGACACACAAATGAGATATCTAAAGTTAGTCCATTAAATTAGAAATGCGTTCTTTTGACAACAAACATTCTTTTGGCTGTGCTTTAGACTAAGAGCAGCAACCATTGAATAAATTGTCTTTCTTCCCTATCTTTTGGTAAAAGTATCTGGATAATCATAAATCGTATCTTCTTACCCTTTTTATATTTTTTCCACTTGTATAAACAAAATATGAAACCACCTAAGGCAAGTACACCACCTATTACTGAGATACTGATGACAACTGCTACTGCTGCTCCTTTTGTTTCTTCACCTATAAACATGTGTTAGCCTTATAAAGAAGTAAAAACAGTCTACAAAAATCAAGAATTTGCATTTACCTGATTCCTCATAGGCAAGGCGCAAGAAAAGATTCTCCCCACCAAATGAAAACTGCTCGATATCGATAAGGTCTTGTTCCCAAATCATGCAGTTTATACCTTCCACAAAGGCATACGCCTTACAAGAGCAGTTACCCAAGCACAAGCTCTTGCAATCATCCATATCCATGTAAGGAAAGTATTGATAATAATCTGGGAGCTTGATCCCACTTACCACCTGAAACTTATCCGGTTTACTCTTTCCAGAAGCCAAACTACTTTCATTCTTCTCACACAAAAGTTCATTTCCTCTCACACAACCCCTTGTCCAATTACTTATACTCCATTCATCTTTTGACTGTGGTACAAACCCTTTTAAGCACTCACAAATAAGAGTCTTGTTTGTACAAATTGAAAAAACACCACAAACTCCATAAACATCACAAGGATTCGCAGGTGCTTCCCACCTTAAATCCCATATATTACGAACATCATCCAAGTAATTCAACTGTGACACACCATCATGTCTTAAATAAAGCCATCTGATATCAGATGAGTTATGAATGTTAATGCTGATGTATGCTCCTCCTTGTGAGTTCTCAGGCATGAGAGTCATTAGATTCGAGTACCCAGACTCTTGCTCTGGTATCCCTATAAACTTCCCTCCATCCCATGGCCCACTTCTCCAATACGGTTTTGAACCACGCCATGTGAAAGCCTGTGGTGGCTGCTCTCCCGAAAGCCCAACTACAAAATCTCCAGGTGTTGGATCATTATCACTTTTCCATGATGTCAATAAATCTTTCCCTTGTGTTTTTCCATTGGTCCCAACTCTCATGCCTGGTAATAGAGTGTTACCAGGATAGTCAAAACTTTCCCACAAAGTCAACCCTGAGATGGTATCGTTAAGAGCAAAACATCCTGTGTCTGTAAGCTTTGCGATTGTTTCGTTTGACTGGACTTTTATGCTTGTTGACCAAACAGTCCTTTCGTCATCATCTAGGATTCCCAGGTTCCCATTGTTGCCAATTGTGAGGGTAGAATTTGTGTCGGAAACTGAGATTGGATTTTGTCTGTTTGCAACCCATATAAATTTTCTTGGGAGAATATTTTTGAACCATATACCAAGATATCGGTTACTTGAATTACCTGGACTGAAGAACCCTAGCTCAAAGACTTGATTGGAAGAGACAAGAGTCTGCTCTAATGAGATTAGACTATCTTTAGTCAATGTATCAGTTGACTTGCAGTGTTGTAGTGAAATAATCAGGATATACAAGCATGTCATGCATATACAGTTTACAAAAGTGGCTCTTGTAATAGCCATACCCTTTTGCAGATTACGTCTTTAGAATTTGGAAAATTTACAATCTATCAATTTAGCATGATGATCATTTTTAATCTAAAGCCAACTCTTTCATTTGTAGGTCGGTGCCCTTTTCATATTGTGATAAACACTTGACTTTTCTGATAGAAATCTGATTTTTTACAATATGACATGGTATCTCTTTTAAAGAACTCAAGAATAATATCCTGATAGCTATACTTTATCTACTTTGATGTCAACCACAATATATAAAAAAGTGATATTGTACTGAGGGTTAGTAGTACAATTAATCATAGATCTGGTTAAAACCACATAAAGTCAACATAATGAAAGTAAACATTGTTTTGATCCTCTACCTGCTATTGATCTTGAATTTATAGGTCAAAATCATGAATCATAGCATAAGATGTTACATGGTGCAAGGCATTAACTCTAGTATTAGTGTAGGTTAGTCACATTCTGAAACGATTCAGTTGTGCTCATCATCGAAGTAACTATATGTTTGGTTGGATGGAATGAAATGACTGAATGAATGAAATGGACTAGGTAATGAACAAAGTCATTAAATTCCATGATCACGTTTGTTTGTCTTAGGATTAGAATGAATTTTCATATGGATTATTTTTATTTATATGTTAATAAAATGTATATTTTTAACATGTAATTACAATTAATGAACGAGTCATTAAATTCTATGATCAAGTTATGACAAAAACATATATTTTCTAGTTATTTTTGAAAAAGAAAATTGTAATTTAATTAAGTCGTGATATGTTAAAAACAAAAAAAAAAATCCTTTTAAAAATGGGTTCTCATGCAAATTCTCATCCCATTGTCCTCTTAAGAATAGCATATTCCATTCCATTACATTCATTATTGATATCATTCCAAGCTGTTTAAAAATGGGGTGTCATGCAAATGTAATTTAGTTAAAACTAAGGTGCTATTTGTTTATTAAGAGTTAAAACGTCTGCAGTCTGCAGACCACAACTGCAAACATCTTGTAATGTCCCAAAAATTATAAGTGAAAAAGTTTCTTTCAATTAGTCAAAAAACCATTCATTCATTAAGAAAATCTCATCAAAGTATAAAACATGTCATATAATCATCAGAGTACAGAACAAAATCATAGAATGTGGAAAACTGGTGGATGCAGTGCGATTATGCCGGACCATTCCCTTTTGAAACAGAAGTACCTGAAACCATAAACATAAAACTGTAAGCACAAAGCTTAGTAAGTTTCCCCAAAATACCCCATACTAAACATTCATAACAACTCGAAGCTAAACCAGGTTTATTTCACCCCCGAGTCTATATCAACTCCTTCGGTATATTTCAACCGGTACGGGTCTATTTCACCCCTGAGTCTATTTCAACTCCTTCGGTGTCTTTCAACTGGTAAGGGTCTATTTCACCCCCGAGTCTATTTCAACTCCTTCAGTATATTTCAACCGGTACGGGTCTATTCCACCCCTACATCTAAGCATACAATCATATCAGCAAGAGTCACAAAGACAACAAGAACATACATGCATATCAACAAGTGTCACAAAGACAACTATCAACCTACAAACATAATCCAGTGGGACGACATTGGTGCCTTCGACCCACAAGTACAATGAAGAGACTCACCTCTCAGTCGAACAAACACAACTATCATCCTAATCTGGTGATAACCATAACGAGTTTTGAAAGTAGTCTTATGCATAACTTCTTCTCTGACCCTCATCTGGTGATATCCCGTCCGTAGATCTATCTTGGAGAACCAAGATGCGCCCTGCAGCTGATCGAACAAATCATCGATCCTCGGGAGTGGGTAGACAACTCCTGCATCTCTGGAGGTGCTAACCGGTAAGGTGTCTTGGCTATCGAAGCTGCACCTGGAACCAGATCTATACGAAACTAAACCTGCCTCTACGGAGGCACTCCAGGTAAATCCTCTGGGAACATATCAGGGTACTCCCGAACGATCGGCACATCATCAGTCGTCTTCTTTCCCTCCGTTCGGGTATTCAACACGTAGGCCACAAAACCAGAACAATATTACTGAAGATATCTCCTAGACCTCGCAGCTGAACAAAGAGATGGTCCAAGCTAAGCACCCTCACCATGAATAACTAGCTCTCCCCCACTTGGGGTTCAAACGCGAACTAACTGGTGCTCGCAATCAATCATCACTCCATTAGGGCTCAACCAATCCATCCCCACGATAACCTTGCTCTCGCGCAAACGAATAGGAACCAAGTCGATCGGATATCTGTCTCGAAATAACTCCAGAATACAATCCCGATGAACCCTCGATGCTCTCACTGGATGATCGTCGGCGATCTCCACCTCCAGCGGATATTTAAGCTCCCCAGGAGCGTCACCAAATCTCTTGATGAGTGCAAGAGATATGAATGATCGGGTGGCGTCCGAATCGAAAAGAACCAAGGCCGAAACACCATTCACTATGAATGTCCCTATACAACCACATACACATTAAGCAAGACAAATAAACAATAAAACAAGATAAGGAGAATATACATGCAAGTAACCACATCTGGCGCTGCACGAGCCACCTCGGCTATCAACTGGAAAGCTCGACTTCTCACGACTGGTGTCTCTGGCTTGCCCTGGCGGCCATCAGTGATCCTCAATGCCATTGGAGCGGGTGCTGCAACCACTCCTACTACCAAACTCGGACAATCAACCTTCTTGTGGCCCCTATGATTGTAATGAAAGCAAATTAGACCCGATACCTGGGTGGTGGCAGTACAATCTCTACCGAAGTGACTAGTCTTGTCACACTTATAGCAACCCGAACCACCCGCCCTATAAATCCCATCGTGAAACTTGCCGCACTTGCCACAACGGCTCCGAATCTGCTGGCCCCTCGATGTAGAATCAAAAGTCTTGGGCTTCTTCGCTGAACCCCCGACTGTCTGCACCTACTCTGCCTTCCTCTTTCCGAGGTGCCCCAAATCGATCTCCCGTTCCCGGGCTCTGGCTAGCATATCCTCCAATGTCTAAAAAGATGTGTAACATCCCGATTTCCCGATACCAGTTTAAAGCTCCAAGAGTCATGTTTCAAAGGCGACTCGACGAGTTAATAGGCCAACTCGTCGAGTAGTGACCAAATCAGTCGCGTAGATTTTAGATCCTACTCGACGAGTTGGAAGACCCGACTCGACGAGTAGGTGCTGGAAAGTGAAAACCCTAATTTTTAGGGTTTGCAACCTATTTAAAGGTCCTTAAATTTCCTCCTCAGTCTCCTTTGTCACCTTCACGTCCAGAGAAACCCTAATAGATAGCTAGCCGATATTCTTAAGTGTGTAAGACCAAAAGAGAGTGTATTGGAACATTTCTTGAGGAGTTAAGAGCTTGGAACAAGGAAGAGCTTGTAGATCCAGCCTTTCCAGTGTCGTGCTTAGATCTCCCTTTTTGGTAGAAGAAATGGTCATTTCTAGGGCATGATGGGGTCACATCCGGGTTTGAGCTTGTCACAAGGGCATAGTTTCAGATCTTGACTTCTTAAGGCCCTATGGACATAAAGCCTCAAGCTTTATGAAGCTTTAATCCTCCTTCATGTCCCAAAATGTTCTCCTAATGTTAGTTATGAGTGTTTTAGCTTCATAGAACCATGCATACACGTAAAGTTAGCAACTTTACGTGATAACAACACCCTAGGAGCATAGATATACTGTTTGGAGCTTTGGAGCAGCTTAAAATCGTCTGAATGAGTGATGGACTGAATGGGACTCGACGAGTCGGTTGAAGATTGCCCGTATTGGTTTTGCATGGACTCGGCGAGTTAGTAAGAAGACTCGACGAGTCAGTTAGGGTTCTTCTCGACATTTAGACACGCGTGGACTCGGCGAGTTGGTGGGAAACTCGGCGTGTTGACTTAGGGTTTTCACGGTTTTCTGAGTTTTGGAGGAACTCGACGAGTTAGTAGTTGGACTCGACGAGTTGGGTCAACATGGACTGTTGACCTTGACTTTGACCAAGGATTGACTAGTTGACTTCTGGGGTATTTTGGTAAATTGGAAACTTATGGAAATGACTTTATGGTAAATATAGGTGGTGGAGTTTGTGGACGTGGTTCGAGAGTTTGAGTTTATCACTTCTATTCGTTAGTTGAGAGATGAGTTATCCTCACTATATCAACAGGGTCTAAGGCACCAATGCCGACCCTTATCGGATTATATTCGGGTTATTACATGATATGCTTATTGATTTACATCCTGGTAGTTAGGATGGTGATATGCTTAGTGACTTGGTTAGGTCGGTATCCTGGTATATAGGATGATGCTATGTTAGTGACCGGTTATTTGTTAGATCGGTTTGACTGTTATATATGCTAGCGTATGATACTATGCGCACATGTTTGTTTGTATGGGGAATAGGTTGAGGCAAGTCCTGCTTCGTGCTGTAGGCCAAGATACCTAGGGCGGTCCAAATGGACTACAGACCCAGGAGGGTATGTCAGTCAGAACGAAGGCCCAACGAGCGGTCCAGATAGGCTGTAG